TACATCCAAATACTAACAAACTTATGGTATTACCTTATATTTTCATGGCACTCTAAAATTTTACAAAGTATGCTCATATATATTTCAGGATATTTAAGATACTTGCATTTCTTACTTAAAAAGCACAAGGATAAATAATAAAGTTTACTATTGGAACTATATATCACATGCTAGATAAGATGTATGTTTCCAGGTATCTCTTTTCCTTAACAAAGTTTCTGGAAAGCCTGTCTCCATTAACTGTTAATACTTCCAATTTTCTATGATAGGCTGAATAATGGCCCTCAAAGATGTCCACACTTGGATCCTGTGAATGTTACCTCTCACAGCAAAAGGGGCTTTGCAGATGAAATTAAGGCTGCTAATAAGCTGACTTTAAAACAGGGAAAAATATCCTGGATTATCCAGGTGGGCCCAATGTAAATATAGGTGCCCTTAAAAGTGGAAGAGGAAGTCACAGAGAGACAGGCAGAAGACATTTCAAGAGGGAAAGGGACTCCAGCCACCATCCCACCTTGAAGATGGAGGAAAGGAGCCAAGAGCCAAGGAATGCGGGTAGCCTCTAGAGCTAAAAACAGCCCTCAGCTGACAGTCAGTCAGGAAACAGGGACCTCAGTCCTGTTGCTCCATGAATTAATATAAAAACGCGTCTGCAGACAGGATTTGTCTTAGCAGTTTTTCAGAGCTTTGCCCTGAAGGAATATGTGAACGTGTTGGTTTGCATTTCAAATGCTGTTACACTCTCGGAAGGGCGTCTCTGAAAGACAGTAGTGGCTGTATCCCACAAGGCACCTCTGAAAGACAGCAGTGGCTGTATCCCACAAGGTGCCGCATTTCTCAGACTTAAAAGTTTGGATTTGCTTTGTAAAGCAAAGTGAATCTGTTAAAAACTACAGGCTGAGAGCTGACAATGGAGTGCCCTCCGGAAGAGACAGCTTCCGGAATGGCTAAAAGCAAAGCTCTTGTTTTAACACTCTAGACTACCTGTCTCCATTCACATTAACCAAATAAACATGGAGCCAACATATCTCTGTTTAACCCCTCTGTTAAGTGATAAACTTACCTTAGAACTTAGAAGTTAAACTTTGAAAGATTTTGTAACCGTTTGCTCACGTAGATAGAATTAGTTAAAGAATCTGTAGAAGGCTTTTGAAAATCTGTTAACCTGAGAGGAACTACCTGCTGTTATGTAAATCTGTTACCCCTGGCAATTATTCACTATTCCCTATAAGTTACCATGTGAGACCTCATTTCAGGCTTTTTGAGACCCATGGAGAAGGTCTAGGCCCCCTGAGATCCTGCTTTGCCTATAATCTTCATAAACTTATAAAACTATATCTTTGTCTCTGTGTATTCTTTTAGTTCTTCCATTTTCCATTTTTCTCTATTATTTTCTTATCCCTTGCAACTCTACCAAAGGGACCCGTTTTTTTGCGGGGAACATTGGCCACGTTCCTGGCACAGTCCTACTACCACAGGTACTAAATTCTGTCGCCCACGTGAATAGGCAAGGAAGCAGATTCTCCCCAGAGCTCCTAGTAAAGAGTGCTGTCCTGCTGATGCCTTGATTTTGGCTTGATGAGACCTGTGTCAGACTTCTGACCTATACAACTGTGAGAAAATAAATTTGTGTTGCTTTAAGCTGCTAAGTTTGTGGTAAGTTGTTATGGCAGCAACGAAAAACTAATATTCTTCCTATTATTCCTATACTCCTAGCTTCTTGGAAACTTTGAAACTATTCCTACTAACCAAGTCTTAGTTGATAAATGCAATAGCTTTTTCAGTTCTTCTGTGGCCTGTTGCTCCTTCTGACATGCTCCATCTGCCTCCTGCTGGGAGCCCTCTCTTCCCTGGTTTCTGTAATACCATTCCTGATTCTCTTCCTTTTCTCTGATTCCTTCATGGGCACTTTCTCTAATCTGCTGTAAATGTTAGTGTTCATTAGGGATCTGTTCCCAGGTTCTCTTCTTATATTACATATAGCCTTGGCTTCTACATATAAAAATCTAAGGATTGCCAAACCTTATTCATAGCTCAAAGGACACGTTTTAGTATCAGATCATTATCCATCTTCAAGGATTTCCCAAAGCCCCTAGTAAGGCGAACTTGTTCTTTCCTCTAAAACCTGCTTCTCTATCTCCTGTTAACTAGATCTCTACTCAACCAAATCAGTCAGTTACAGTACTTTGCCATTATCTTAAGACTATGTTTTCACTATGTCATTGGTAACTAAATCCATTTGGGTATTTCTAGAATGTTTCTATCCCCATGTTGCAGTCTTAATTAAGGAACCTATCCTTTCTGAAAAGGACTGGTAAACTGCCACTTTGCCTCTTGCATTCTTACCAATCTCCAAATCCATCCTCTGCCTTCTCACTGGAATGATCTTTCTAAAAAAAGTCTTAATTTACTACCTGTCTATAAAAATGCTCATATTCTCTGTAGTTCTCAGCATCAACTCTGCCCTAAGACTCATTTCTTTCACTCTCAACACTCACATGTTTAACACATTCATACTTCTGTATACACTATTTCTTATAACTAAGATGACTTTCTGCTGTTATTCAGTTTTATTGAGTGACTAATGAATTGGCAAACACTGTCAGGAGTGGTGTTTGAAATCACCTTTTAAAGTTTTAGTTGTCATGTGGCTTCAGGAACTCAACTATAGAATGATATAATAGACAGTACACTGAACTTAGCATCATCACACCAAGTTTCTAGTTCTATTATTAAAAAGGCCAGTGATTAAAACATCTCAGCGCCTGTTTGGTCCCTTGTGAAAAAGAACTAGATAATCTAAACGTCCATAAAAGTTGATGATTCTAGTTTCTAATTAAGAACACTAAAAGTAGGTACTAAAAACAAATAGTAAGGGTAATTTACAGCACTGTTCAATTTCTAGACAGAACCTGTAATACTTACATCATTTACATACAATAATTACCCTTACCAATGTAAGCTAAAAATAAAATCCTAAGCCCCCAACCAAATGAACAGACTCTCTCTTGGCCAAGGGACCCCAGAAACATCTTAAAAACTGAGTTCCCGGCCACAATGGGAGGGGAGGTCTGACAATGCCCTTTTGCAGTTTAGACACAACTGACTAGCATTAGCGTTAAAATAGATCATAAGACTGACAGAATGGACTCTTTGTGGCAATAAAATACCAAATTATAAACAAGACCTAAGGCCATGCCAGCCCAGAGTTAAGTCATGCACCTCTACACAGAAAGAATACATTATATTCATTATATTCTAATTGCCTAGGGAAGGTCTTATGATCCACAGCTTACATCTGTCCCTGAGTAAAGAATCTTATTGAGTCCCTAAAATTGTATGAATTTCTGTTTTCATACTGATTAACACATAACCTACTCACATTGAGAAGGACACTGATTTGTTTCTGAATTATTAAGTTTTACTGATTTCCTGCACATAAAATATTTTAGCCTGTATTTGCCATCTGCAGCCAATGAGAACTTCCGTATTGTACCCCCAGTGAAAAAGGACAACTCTGATATAAGGAGACCCCCCTCCCTCTTCCTAGACTTTCTTATAAAAGTATTCTAACCTGTAACAGACTTTGGAAAACTCCCAGCTTTGTTGGTGTGACTTTCTGGACCGTGGTCCCTCATACTGGCTCAGAATAAACCTCTTTAAAATAATTTACAGAGTTTGGTTTTTCCATTAGCAACTAGATAAATAAGACAAAGAATAGAGAATATCTTGTTCTAAGGATTTGGGGATAAGATCTAAATGTGTTTGGAAGATCAACCAGGTGTGAAGGCAAAACTATAAACTTCTGAAAAGAGGTCAAATTTAGAATTACTAAAACGAGAGCTATCTAGAGTAAAAATTTTAAACAAAACCATAACATGAGATTGGGTTTTAGGTGCTTTTATGTACTAAAAAGTTTCATCATAAACTAACCCTCTTCTGACTTGAGACTTCTTCCCATGGCCACGTTATTTACCTTCTGTCTCCTCCTCCTTAGTTTTGTTGCCATTTGGTTTTAAATCCCAAGCAAATGCGTCCTTCTTGATGCTTGGGCAGATGCTATAAATAAAATCAGCTAAAGTGTCTGATTGATAGTAAACAGGCTTCAGGTGATAATGAGTCTCTAGTAATCAGGGCCTCACTGGATTCAACCCAACCCTTTCGGTCCCTCCCCAGCGGCGCAAACAGGGCTCCTCGCCGAGTATCTAGGGAGTGGCCAAGAGTCACTGGCCACCGCGGCTGTGAGCGCTGGGTTCCTTCTCCTTTACGGAGGTGGGGATTGAGTAAGCTGAGCCTATTTTGGTTTTGTTTGCGTTTTGGGGAGGAGTAGCTAGCGGAGTGAGCAGCGCCCGGATGCGCCCGGGCCCCCTCCACATCCCTCGGGGACGCGCACCGGGCTCGAGCGTGGAACGGGGCTGAAATGGCAACCGCTGGAATAACGGACTCGGCTCCCTGCGGCTCCCCAGCCTTCGGGGAGAGGCCGGGCTGGGCAGGGCACCTGGCCTTGGCGCCCGTCCCAGCCCCAGCCCCAGCCCCGGCGCAGCAGGTGGACACAGCAGCTCCAGAGGGCCCAGCTGGCCCGAGGCGGCAGCAACCCCCTCCGTCCAGCGCTGGCCCGCGAACCCAGGAGGCGGGCAGAGCCCACCCAAGACCCTCGCTCGCTGCACCCCCATCGCCAAACTCAACATCCACCCCTCACCTGGCCCCGACTTGTTCAGCCTTTCCGGCTGCAAAAGAAAGGGGTGCGGCCCGGGAGTCCCCACCCCGAGGGAAGCAGCCACGACTGTGATTCCTCACCCCAGCCCGAGCGCAGTGGGCCGCGGGAAGGTGGCCTGCTGATCACGCACCTGTCTTGCGGCCTGTTTTAGGTAGTGGCAGCTCAGATGACCGAATCGCTGCCGCTAGGTCCTGCCGTCTCCCCAGACCAATCCAGCGGGCGGCCGCGCAGCAGCGACTGCTAACCGCGCATGCGCGTGCGGCCGCGGGCGGGGAAGAGGCGGCTGCCCGGGGCGCGTGAGGCGCGCACCGGCCCCGGGGGCTCAACGGCCGCGCAGGGGCGCCCCGCGGCGGGCCCGCGCCTCGTGCCAGCGGGTCGCAGCCGGGCCCCCGCTCCTGGGTTAGCCGGGGAGAAGTTCCTCCTTGTTAGTCGAAACACTTTTCCTCTTCTGAGGGCCTGCCCTCCGTGCAAACCGAGCGGTTCGTCCTCCTATTGCACAATAATTGGGTCCTGAATTTGATGTAAATCATGTTTGTGAACAGAATCCAGTTATAGGTGCAGTAAGGTTAGTGCTCCAGGCTTTCTCTAGAGTTCTGTATGTTAAGAGATGAGCAGTCATTGTGGTTAGCAGGGAGCCTTCCTACTTCGTGTGTGTATGATAAATATAGATATGTTAAATGTTAATGTAGTGAATACGTTATATACAAAACAATACATTATTTTTCTTTCTTGCAATGCTTCTGATAAGAATTGCACACATTTATTGTGCACACTGTGCTCTAAGTGTTTTACAGTCATTGGCTCTTTTAACCCTCACAACAACCCAGCTGAGGAAACTGATCAACTTGCTCGAATGTACAAAACTAGTAAATAGTGGAAACCACATTTGAATCAGACCTGTTTCTCTCAGAGCCTGTAGTTTCAACCAACACATTAAAATTAAAATACAGTATTAACATAGTACTGAATCACAAGCTTCTTTGCTCTATAGATATTGGATCGTGCAGCTTTTACTTCTTATATTTTTTAGTAAATGTGACTTTGAATTTTGTATAATCATGATTTAAATTTTATTGGAAAAATATTTAATTGACTGGTTAGTCTAAAACCCCTGTTGAAGAGCCTCAGATTAAAGGATTGATGGCATTCCAGGCACAATATGTGATTATTGCCTAGGGTCCAGGTCATTGAATATTTTTTCTCATTGCTTCACTAATAAGGCCACCGTTTCTAGACTTTTGATGCTGTGACTTCCTGGAGAGTGTTTGGATAGTGTTGAATTTAGTTGTTAAAAAGATATTTTATTTGAGGTACTTAGTAACAACATATTCCCCTTAATTTCTTTCTTCCATCTTTCCAGCTTCTATTATTCAACATAATTCTGTGGCCCATAACAAATACACTTGATTTATTAGAGAAGGATTTGTGAAGCGTCCATTCAAAGTTTGCAGGGAGGAAGCTGAAAACTAAAAATGTAAAAATAGGTAATTTTTGGTAAGATTTAGTATTATGTTCTTGATCACACAGTGCTCAAAACCTTGAGAACATTTTGACTCTTAACCTTTGGCTGCTACATTCACTGTCTCCATTAAAGTTTGTCTCCATAAAATCATCGAAAAGAGCTCACCCCACCCCTCAGTCCCTGTGCCATTTCTCTAGTTGAGATTCTTGCAGCTTTAGAAACTGTTGCCAAGAGTTGCCTAACTGCACCCACCTGCGCTTTGTATAGTCAGTTGCTTTAATCCTCAACTCATTCAAAAGCTCCCAATGACCCTCCATTACCTACAGAATCAAATCGAATTCTTAGACCTGGAATTCAAGGCCTTAACCTACAGCTCCAGAATTATTTGCCACTCAGTGAAAGGATGATTGAATATTTATAATTTTGTTTATTATAAATTTATATTTATATATTTATATTATGTTTATAATTTTATAATTTAACAGGCAACTTTTCACCAGAATAATACAGCATGATAATGTAAGAGAAGAAAAAATAATCTGAAAATAAGACCATTGGTATGGCTTTTTGAGAACGATGTGGTGTTTAGAAATACAAGGGGAAAAGTCCTGGAAGGTACTGCTGAATGGTAAGAGTTGTGAAGTGTTCTGACGTATCAGAGTTGAAGACAGATTTAGGGAGAGCCCAAGATGACCTAATCAAGTTGGAGGGGCCAGGGTAATCAGAAAGCTAGAAAAACATTAAAAGCAGAAACCATTCATGCTAGTTGATGGAACAGAGTGATGCCCTGTTGGGAGCATATTTTGTAATCAAAATAATGGCTATTTTATTAATGACCCCCTAGGTGCAAGTTGCTATATATAATTGATCCACAGCTTTTATCCTTATTTTACTTATGAGGAAATAGGCCCTGATACTCTTTCTACAACACTTTACCATTTGAAAAATAGCAGAGTGTAGGAAATTCCTCTAATTCCAAGATTTATAAAGCTATGAGGAATGAAGTTTTCACCCAAATACAACGAGTGAACTCAGAGCCTAGACAATTCAAAAAAAACTTAAAAATATTTTTATAGTTTTATATATTTAGAAATGTATTTCTTTAAAAATGGTGCAGACATATAAGAATAACATCTATTGGATGTTGGGCAGGGGGAGGGGGAGGGGGAAGGAGGGAGGAGGGGACGGGTGTATGTATACACAAAGAGTGCAATGCGCACCACCCGAAGGATGGACGTATTTGAAACTCGGACTTGGGGGGGGGAGCAAGGGCAACATACGTAACCTAAACATCTGTACCCCCATAATATGCTGGAAAAAAAAATGGTGCAGAAAACAGAGAAAAGGAAATGAGCACTCAGTTTTCTAGTGAATTGATTTTTATTTTCAAGATGTATAATTATATCTTTGGCAAAAAAATTTTATCTATTCCTGTCTTATATTTATGATTCTTATTTTCTGAGGTCATTTTCCTTATTCCTTTGACAAGAATACCAAACAATAATAAATAAAAGTAATAATAATAGTCATCATTGTTTTGCTCCTGGTTTTATCCACAATTCTTCTGTTTAATGTATATGGTTAGCAGAATGAGTTTTTATTTTGTATCTCAAGATAAAATACCCAAGAAACATTACTTGATTTCAGGATTTATACAAGTATGGTTATGGAAAGAGTATGGTATTGGCATCAAGATACACTAATAAATGAATGAACCGAATAGATTCTAGATATAGACCCATATGTGTATGTGCTGTGGTTTGGATTTGGTTGGTTTGTCTCCACCAAAACTCATGTTGAAATTTGATCACCAGTGGGCAGTGTTGGGAAGTATGGTGTATTAGTAGATATTTAAGTCATGAGGACGCCACTCTTGTGGGGGGCTTGGTACCATTCTTGCTGTAATGAGTGAGTTATTGCTTTAGCAAGACTGGATTAGTTCTTATGAGAATGTATCGTATCCCTTTCACTCAATCTCTGGTATTTTATTATGTCAGCCTGAGATGACTAACACAGGTTAGAGAAAGATTTATTAGCTATGACACCAATAGTATGATTCATAAAAGGAAAAAGGTTGATAAATTAGAACTCATTGAAATTAAAAACTTCTCTATGAACTGTTTCTTCTTATTTCTAAAATTTTTAATATTACCTTGTAAGTGTGCATTTTGGTTGGTTTTTAAATGGTAATTTAACAAATTGTTATTAATACTAATACAGGATTTTAAAATTCCCCAAGATTATGAAACAACCTTTCCTGTCAGCAGTTGAATTCACAAGACATACTAAATTTCCTAAATTAAGCTTGTGACACTTAAATAGTAAATTGTAGCAATGAAATAACTATTGATAGACTATAACCAGGGAACCTTCACCTCAATGTAAGCTGAACCTGTAAAGCTAGCTGATGATTATCTGAAGACGCACAGATAGTAACCTGGTAAAAATAAAACCAATAAAAAGCATGGGTAGGAGTGTTTTATGGGAGATTATAGTATAATTAGAGTCATATGAAAATGGAAAGAATCAGATAGCCTATTTGTTAAAGTGGTATTTTGAATAAAAATAGATGTTTGAAGTTATGAGCCACTGACACGTTGGGGCTGCATGTTACTGCAACATAAATCAGCCTATCCTTACAGATTCATTTCTCTTTCCTAGAAGACTTCTTTTCCTAACAATTCATCCATGTCTGACAACGTGAGAAGTAGGTGTGACGGTAACGAGACTTAGGCTGGGGCCCTCGTGGAGGTTGAAAGAGTTAGAGGAAGGGAATTCTTCCATTTTTATCCCCAAGGTAGTTTGGGTGGCCTTTTTTTATATTGTACTTTTGACTTAGAAATACTTTCAAACATACGGAAAAGGTGGAAAGACAATACAGAGAACTTCTATATATCTTCTACTTAAAGTTTTCACTATTTTTTTTAACACAATACTATATTTGATTTTCTCTTCTTGTCATTTATCATCTATTTAATATCATCTATCCTCTACACCATCTATCATCATCTGTGTATCTAATTTTTTTCTGAACAATTTGAGAATAGATTGCATACATCGTACCCTTTTACTACTTAATAATTCAGTATATATTTTTTAGAAACAAGAATATTTTCTCATGTATCCACAGTATAGTGACCTAATTCAGGGAATTTAACATTCACATAATAATTTAATCTATAGACAATATTCTAATTTTGTTCCCTGTCTCAATGATGTCATTTATAGCATTCTTCCAGTACAGGATCCAATCTAGGATAAAATCTTACATGTCGTTGTCATGCCTCTTTAGTCGCCTTTAATCTGAAGTTGTGACTCTACATTTTCTTACTTTTCATGACATTAGAATTTTTGAAGTATACGGGCCAGTTATTCTATGGAATGTCTCTCAACATGGATTTATCTGACATTTTCTCATGATTGGATGTAAGTTATGAAATTTTGCCTGGAATACCTTATAAATCATGTTGTGACCTTTTCAGGGTAATTTACCTGAGACATATGATATTCATGTGCCTCCTGTTGGTGATGTTAATTTTGAACACTTGTTTAGGGTGTTGCCTGCTTTCCCTTCTGTATAGCTCCAATTTTTTCATTTGTAATTAATAAGTAATCGTGTGAACAGACTTTGAGGCTATGTAAATGTCCTGTTCTTCATTAAACTTTATTCTCCTTCTCCCACTACCCCGGATTTGGCATTTTTACTTGAATCAGTTTTACTACCATGATTGCAATATAGTGATTTTATAATATTTATTAGGCAACATTCTATTGAAAAGAGCTTTTACTTATCCTATACCCACCCATTCATCCACCTAATCTATCTATCCGTCTATCATAAGAATAGAATCATGGCTTCTGTATTTTATTCAATGAGTTACTATACTTAGTTATTGTTAATATATCTATCTCTTAATGGACATTTGGATTGTTTCCACCTTTTCACTATTACAAATAAAGATGCTATGGTCATGTACAAATGTACATGTACAAATCTTTGGATGGACATACAGTTTCATTTCTCTTAAATAACTAGGAGTGAAGTAGCTGGGATGTATAGTAGGCATTTGTTTAACTGTTTAAGAAAATGCTGTTTTCCAATGTTCCTGTATTATTTTGCATTTCTGCCAGCAATGCATGAGATGTCCAATTGCTCTGCATATTTACCATTGCTTAGTAGGGTCAGTCTTTAATTTTAGTCCTTCTTGTGTCCAATCAGTGATATCTCATTGTGGTTTTAAGTGCTCTATAGTTTTCTTACCAGATCCCCTCCATATGAGTTGTATGATTTTATCTCACTGTGGTTTTAAATGCTACACAGTTTTCTTATATATTACCAAATCTCCTTCACTGGAGTTGTATCATTTTGTATTCTCACAAGCAGTGTATGGGAGTGTTTATTTCACATGTTAAGGAAGTTTCTGTTCATTGCAATTTTTAAAAACATTTTTATGGGAAATAGCTGTTGAATTTTTCAAAGGCTTTTTCAGCACCTGTGGAGATAAACATATGATTTTTTTCTCCTTAGACTTGATAGCATTATACACTATAGTAACAGGTTTCCTAACAGAATCCTAACAGGTTCTTGCATCCCTGGTGTAAATACCAAGTCATAGTACGCTGTTTTCTTAATATGGCTTGGGAATCTATTTCTAATATTGCATTTAGGATTTTTGCATCAATTGTCATAAATGATATTGCTCTGCTTTATGCATTCATATCAATGATAGCATAAAGCATGCTATCAATGATAGCATTTCCTTTATGCTATCATTAACAGGATTAGGTACTAACGTTGTATTTATATCATTAAAAGAATTTGAAAAATTTCCTTATTTGATATACTCTGAAACAATTTAGAAATATTAGGACTGTTTGTTTCTTAAAAGTTTAATTGAATTTCCCTGTGCAATCATCCGGTCCTGGTGCCTCCTTATGCTTGTTATTTCTTGATAACTTTCTCTATTTCTTCTATGAACATTGGTTGGTTTAAGCTTTCTGTCTCTACTGGCATCAATTTTGGTAAACAATTTCCTAAGAATTATACATTTTATCTAGGCTTATAGAAAGAAAACTAATATCAATCAAAAATCTGTCAGTTTATATGAACTTTCTCACAATTCATTACCTGAATTACTATTAAAATCAACACAGCATCTAAAAATGTATGCCAAGGTTATTAAAGAAAAAAAAGAAATATCAGAAGATATGTTCCCATGGGAAATGCCTGCCTGGATTTATCTCCCATTATTTCTTCTAATTGTTACAATTTTACCAGTGGGCATGAGATCCATGCAAGAATACACAACAAACCCCAAGACACCTACATTAATAGAGGGTATCTCTTTCCCCTCTACCCAAGATTGGAGCCACATTTACCATTATTATTAATTACTAATTATTAGTAGTAATATTACTACATTGCGATATTTACTTCATATAGTCAATAATAAATAGTGCAGATGTTGGTGGCTTTCTATCTTAATATTTGAGAGAAATTTTGGCAACAGAGAATTTCACTTATTTGTCCAATGTTTGCTGAGCTTCTATTCACTTCAAAAGTAGTGTTACAAAAAAAGATTTCAGGGAATCTAGTTTCTACAAACTTGTCTGCTATATATCTTTATTTGCCTTCATGTATGTTTGAAGAACAGTGATTCTAATAAAGCAAAATCAGTATAAATGCTGTAAAACAAACACTCAGACCAACAAATGAAGCACTATTTGCTCTGCTATACCACAGTTATAGCAAATAGTCTGGGTTCTCCAAATCTCCCTTTCTTCATATACCTCAGACCAGAGACCATGGGTGGTAAGTGGGGCCCTCCAAACATCCACCATTGGGGATCAGTAGGGATGGGGATGAAAGCTGGGGTATCTCTCCTGAATATATTAGAAATATTTTCCAGAAATGCTTTGTGCTGACCACCCAAATGCTCTTAATCCTGAGTTAAGGACAGTGGTAACTGGGTTGAATTAAGGCTATCTTTATCTTTCTTCTCTTTTTTCCTTCTAGCATCTTTCACTCTCATGGTATCTCGGTCAGGGTTCAAAGGCCTCTTTCTGAGTGCCAAAGCGGGATGCCCTTGAAAGTATCTCAGCTTTTTAGTAACATTCAGCAGCATGTTGAATAACCTCTTTTAATACCTATGCTAATGTGTGGTCTCAGCCTTTCAGGTATTTTGTTCTAGTCTTAGATGATAGACTAAGAAGTCCAAATAAGTACCTTTTCAAGCAATGTAGCTATCTTTTTGAGAAATACTGTACCTAGACTAAGTTCTAATTCTTCATACTAGCTTGGAATGTGCTCTGGAAGATTTAAGAGTTCAAAATTTCAAAATCAATGTGAAAAATCACATTGAATAAATAAAAGTTCAAAATTTAAATCAAATTTAAAATCTTTGTAACATATATAATATCTTCTTTTCTTCTTAAAGAATAAAATGGACACACATGAACACTTCATTTTTCACATTCTCTTTATAAATTGTTATGTGATACAATTCATACTGAGGTAAAAGTGTGAAGTTTTGGCGGTCAAGGATAGGACAGCAGTATGAAATTAAGACTTTTGTGATATATGATTGAAGGACAAGAAATGTCTTATTGTTCACAATAAAGTAATACTAGAATAAAAACAAGAAAAAAAATAGTAGGAGATTTTAATAGATGCCCAAAAGTGATGGATCAAGCAGACAAAAATTAGTAAGGAGTTAAAAGATTTGAACAACAAAATTTAAAAGGATGTAAGAGCATCCTGTACCCAACAAATAGGAATACTTTTAAACAATTTTAAAGCACAAAACCAACATTTATAAAAAGAAATGAAACAACATATTTCAAAAGGAGTGTACAGAGACTACACATTCTTTTCAAAGCTATATGGAACACAAGGATTCACAACAATTCTCAAATTTTATCATACACATAAAGATCTATAACGACAATGCAATTAAATTAGAAATTAACAATAAAAATGGAAAAAAACCCCGATATATTTGAAAAAAGCCAAACATGCTCCCAAATAATCCATGAGTTAAGAAGGCAATAATAATAGAAACTAGGAAATCTTTAGAACTGTCAGAATATGTACATATCAAGATGTTTAATAATTAGCTCAAATGGCACTTGGGGTAAGTTTACAGTTTTAAATGCATTTATTAAAAGACAGAAAGATACTGTGGTGCTGCCAGATCCAGGATTGCTTCAGTATGTGCTTTCTATTTCTTTACGTCTTAACAAAATAAATAAGAGCATACACCAATTCACCCAGAACTTGTCTGTGACAATGGCACATTTCTGAACTTATAACTCTTTATTGAGATTATGTGATGGCCATAATAAAAGTCAATAAAGTATGGTCATACTATCTATGGTTCTTAATTTTAAAGAACTTCCCTGCTTTTCCTATTTTTAAGTTAAAGTGCAATAGGGTACAAACATCATAAATGTTTTACTTTTTCTTGACCTAAGAGGTCATTTAATACTTTCAAGTCTACTGGTTTGTTCGTTGTTTACTTCTCTTGTAGATAATTATGCATTTTCATTATTATAATTTCTGAAACATGCCATTAGAAATCAAGGTTATCTGAGGTTCCAGGTATTACAGAGTTTCTTCTTGTTATGCTTATTATCTTCATATTTTCTGAAATAAAAATAAAAAATCTGTAACATCTGGAAATAACATGTTATTAATTCATAAAGATGTAATTATTTTCATGACAATTTCTTAATAGTATTCTTTCCTTATTGTGTCTTCTTTGACACCACTACCCCTTATAAACAACTTTACATTGGCAAAAGATATAATTCTTATGAT